GCGCTTGATCTTCTTCAGCAGCTGCCGGGACAGAGAGAGAGTCACCCCAGGGCCTGCAGCGACAGGGTCCCCCCAGCAAGGGGCGCAAGCACCTTCGCTTCGCGTTGCCAGAGCTCCCAGCTCTGCCAATGCCCCTCACTCCCGACCCGCAGCCCCTGCTAGCCCAGCCCTGGGCTCCCCACCCCCAGCTCTGCCAGTGCCCCTTGTAGTAAGAGGAGGCCCTGAGATATAAACCTTGGTATCAGAGGCCCGGTCTGAGGCCTAAGGCCTGAACTAAAGTAATGGTCAAGACTTTGCTAACATAAAGCAGAGTTAAGCTGTGAGCCAGAGGCAGGCTCTGCTCACAGAAGCTGCCAAGGAAAGGGCTGATGCTGCAGAAAGAGACATACCTAACAGGTACTGGACACCAGATATCAGAACATTCGCATACGTGTACATTCCACACACAACAAGCAACAGGCCGACCCATCCCAATGACAGGGCCAAAAGGGGAATATGAGGGAGTGTTGTTTTGTTCGAACCAACATGTACAAGGTGAGAGGCAGCACCTTACTACGTAGAGGGGTTGTACCTTGCTGCGTGGAGGGGTTGCACCTCAATACATCAGGAGTGATGTGTAACTTGTTTGTACCTGTGTATAAGAGTGTATCCCTGGGGTGGTGTCTTTGTCCGGCCGAGGGGGCAGTGGAAAGTCCCGCCACTGAGCCGGGTCTATTGCCAAGAGACACTTTCTCGTAGTATGCCCGGTAGACTAAGTAATCTACAGGGAACTGCCATTGTGTCCAAGGTCGCAATAAACCTAGTCGACGTGACTTTGCATCTTACTAGACTCTGTGGTTATTGGGGGTTCTCGTCGGGTCTGCTGGGTCAGCGATCTGCGCAGAGCTGGGGCAGCACACAGAGGGAACACACGCACGCAGCCGAGTGATATCAACATAGGAGAAAGCAGAGCACCACACGGGTAGCATCTGACAACACTGAGGACCCCGACCGCTGATCTGGGGAGTAAGCGAACCTGCCGTGGTAAGAATCGCAATCTAACATGGCAGCAAACCTCGAACGAGGGAACCCCCTGATCCCCTCCCTTATGATCCCCACGGAGTTGGATAACTCTTGGACCCGCTGGATTGCCAGTAAAAGGGGTCCATATGAATTTTAAAAAAGAGAGTGGGGAAACATGGACTGGCATATGCAGAGCGATGGTAGAAACCAAGGCTCTAAAAATAAAAGTAAAAAAGCAATAAAGCTACACAGCCTAGTAAAATTAAAAGATGAAGCGGGGTCCACTGCATTGCAACCACCACCTTACGATAAAAGCCAGGTTCCAGTTAAACTTCAACTGAGACCTAGACTGGTGCCTGTCAGAACGGGACAAGTAAGTGCACAGAAGGAAAGAGTAGCACACAATACTTTCACAGAATTGGTAAATCAAATGAAGGAAAATATGGAACAATTCACAGAGCACATTAGGAGACAGGAGCTGCGACTCGATCGCAGGGGAGTGAATAAAAAAGAATTTCAAAGTAAAAAACCAAAACTAAGTGGGTTAACACCTAGAATTGATGCATGAACACATGGAGTTGCCCAAAACCAGTTAACTGCAGCAAAAAAGGGCACTCCCGCCATCCATCTAGCATGCACACAAAAGCAACAGACATTGGGGGAACAAATTCAGGCCTTAGGCCTCATACAGGGCCTCTGATACCAAGGTTGATACCCTTGTTGACTCTTGGGCCCAAGCACCGGCTTGTTGCCAACGGGGGGGGGGGGGGGGACAAGGGGGGCATTCCAGCCGGACTCACCATGTTCTTGAAGGTGGCGCAGGACGTGGCGCTGGTGGAGTTGATCTCCAGGGCGACCGTATTGTGCACGATCTCCCCAGTGCTTTCGCTGCAGCGGGGAGAGGGAGGGCGGTCAGCGAGGAGTTAACGGCCCCCGGGGTGGGGATATCTTACAGCAGGGGGGAGAGTCCATCCCCCCCCTTGCCACCCCTGCAGGACCGTCTCACCTGAGCGGGGTGCCATAGCCGCCAAGCGCCAGCTCCCGGGCCTGCTTCTCCGTCACCATGTCGGCTTTGACCACGTAGGGCTTCGCCGAGGCCTGGAGCAGCCGGGCGCCCAGCAGGAAACGTACACTGGCCTGGAACTTGGTCTGGGTCTTCAGCACCTGCGGGGGCTGCTTCTCCACCAGGAAGGAGCTGGGGGGGGGCAGGGATGGGGTCAAGGGCTGCCTGTGGCTTGGCCAGATGTAGCCACCGACGGTGGTTCCCAGCGTCCCAGCCCCAGAGCAGGGTCTCCACACAGCTGAGATGTTAACCCCGCCCTGGCCCAAAACGTCCCAGCCTCCCAGACCCACCCTGTTCTGCTCCAAGCCCCCCACCCCCACCACAGCCAGATTAGAGCACAGCCTGGGGCCACGTTCGCCCTTCTGGCAGAAGAGGCAACAAGGCTGGCTGGTCAGCGCAGGGAGCTGGGACCTAGGACGCCTGGGTTCTATCCCCAGCTCTGGGAAGGGGGTGGTTAGAGTAGGGGGGCTGGGAGCCAGGACTCCTGGGTTCGATTCCCGGCTCTGGGAGGGAAGTGGGGTGTAGTGGTTAGAGCAGGGGAAGCCATCAAGTCCATCCCCCCGGCGTGCTACTGCCCTCCCCGGCCAGGGCCCTGCCCTGCGGTACCTTTCAACCAGGGCACTCAGCACCGAGTTGAGCCGCTCCAGAAGCCGGGAGAGCAGGTCGGAGCCCAGCTCCCCACCGACCGCCACCACCTGCTGCTGCAGCTGGAAATAAATGTCCACCAGATTCTCGCACCTGCCGAAAAAGCAGCCGGGCAGGGGACACGTCTGAGCCGACGAGGACGGCCCAGCTATGGTCCCCGAGCTGGGGCCGGAAGCCAGTCTGTGCCGACGGATCCCACCCTGTCTCAGGAGCGCCACCTAGTGCCCAACAGACCAGGGGCTCTGGGAGAAAGGCGGCAGCTGATCTCTCTGCATCTCAGCTTGACACCCCCCCCCCCGTACCACCAGTCCAGCCAGGAGCCCTTCCTACCCTCGGGCGGGAGGGAGAGGGGCTCGGATCCCAGTGGGGCCACCAGCAATGGAGATCGTGGATAGCACAGGGACTGGGAGAAGGAGGGGATCTGAGCCCCTCTGGAGCCCCGAGGAGTGGGGAGAAACGCCTCCGCTCCGCCCTCCCCGACACCCTCTGGGGCTCACCTCTTCTGGAGCGGAGCCAGGTTCTCCTCGAAGACAGCCCCGTTCCCCGCCAGCTGCTGCTGCCGCTTCCAGATGTGTAGCCTCTTCAGCACCTGAAGCTTGGCGCCTTCCAGCTCCTTCATGGCCTCCAGGATGAGAGCGGGCAGATCCTGGGGTGAGGCAAGACGGGCGGCTTGGCGGGGCGGAGGCAACGAGCCAGCCGGACGGGGCCCCCTGGGGTACCTGGCGCCCCCTGCCTTGGAGCGACGCGTGGGCCTACCCCCCACTGCAGCAGAGCCCGGCGGGATGAAATGGGCCAGGGATGGAGCCGCTGACACCAAGCCACCTTGGCCCCCTGCCCCACACGCACATCCTGGGGAGAAGGAGGGCAAGGTGCCCTGGCCGGCCCCCATCCCTGCCCTCCCCACCAGGCCTCAGCGGAGGGGCCTGCACTAGCGAGGATATGGCAGGCTGCAGTGTCACCCCCCCCGCCCCCCCCCCTGCATCCACTCACACACCAGCTGACTGTGCAATGCAGTTTCCGGCCGCCTTTGCATCACTGCAGCAGGACACCAGCTGCTCTTCGCTGACGGCTTCCCAAGGCTGCAACTGATCACGTGTAACCTAACCCCTACACACACCCGCCCCCCACGCCTCCCCCCACACACACACGCCCCTCGACCCACGCCTTGTGTCTCCCTTGGGAAAGCCAGAGTCTTTGCATCCCCCCTCTCTACAAGCGATCGGATCTGCGCTCACCGGTCGGTCCGGCTACCCCAGCACCAGCCCCCCCACCCCATTTCCAGCCTTGTCATTCCCCACACCAGCCTCCGTTACTCACGTTCCCCTGGAGTTTCCCCTCTGTCTTCAGCTGGGACTCCTGCAGCTTTGTCTGCTGGCAGGCTGCGGGAGGGGGAGTTGTAAAGCCCTGGTTAATATCCGAACCCAGAAAACAAAGTGCCGGGGACTGCTCGGTGGGGTTTCCGGGGGCCAATCCAGAGGGGAGAGGAGTCGGGCACAGCTCTCAGCAACAGAGAGCTCAAGCTGCAGCGGATCATGCTGTCTGCTCAGGACGGTTCCTGGGTTCAGTCCCCAGCCCCGGCCCCGCGATTCGCTAGCTGGGGAGGGAACCCCGGAAACGGGAGACGAGCGGGACGCCAGGAAGATACTGAGCAGCCGGAGGGGAGAGATGGGGGAGCAGCGGGTGCTGATCGGGGGGGAGGTTAAACGATCCCGCAGCCACATCTCCCACACGGGGCCGTGATTGTCAGGAACGCCGCGTGGGGGGCGGGGGGCTCGGCCCGGCAGAGGGCCAGGCAAAGGGACAGGAGAGAAGCCGGCTCCCCGCTCTGAGCGGGGAGGAGGGGACGTGTCTGGGGTCGGGACACGGAGCGGAGCGGGACTGAAGGGAGAGAGAAAATGGAGCTGAGGGATCAGAAACCCCCCCCCCCCCGAAGGAAGAGCTGGGGGGCCACATGCCTAGCAGGGAGGCCGAGCTGGGCTGGGGGCACATTTAGAACCAGGCAGGGTGGAGGGAACAAATCCAGCCCAGGGCCAGATGGCTCTGGCGGGGCCTGTCCAGCCGTTGCCATGGCGATTGCATAATTAGCCTGGTCACTGGGGTTTGTGTCAGGGAAGCGGGGTCAAGGTCAGAGCTGGGGAGACAGGTCCCGGTGCACCGCCCCCAACTCCACCCCCTCTGCACACCTCTAGCCCCGCCCACCCTCTGTCGTCCAATCCTCTTCCAGTCCCTGCAACTCCGCCCCCTCTTCACTCCTCCAGCCCCTCCCACCCTCTCCCCCGCCAATCCCCTTCCAGCCCCTCCCAACTCCGCCCCCTCTGCACACCTCTAGCCCCGCCCACCCTCTGTCGCCCAATCCTCTTCCAGCCCCTCCCACCCGCCAATCCCCTCCCAGCCCCTCCCCCACCAATCCCCTCCCAGCCCCTCTCAACTCCACCCCCT